ATATTGCCCATTAGATGTTATGTTCAAGTGACAGCAACAGCAGCGAGATCTCCAAAGGCTGCATTTGCAATAGAGAGCCTGGCCCCCTTAAAAAGCTTGTGCTGATACACTGTGTGCACTGAAACATCACTTTATGCTCCATAAACACACACAGTAATTATACGTCAATTTTTAAGTGCTTTTTTTTTTTTTTTTTTGAGACAAAGTTTCACACTGTTGCTCAGGTGGGAGTGTAGTGGCGCGATCTTGGCTCACTGGAACCTCTGCCTCCTGGGTTCAAGCGATTTTCCTGCCTCAGCCTCCCGAGTAGCTGGGATTTCAGGCACGTGCCACCACACCTAGCTAATTTTTTGTATTTTTAGTAGAGACTGGGTTTCACTATGTTGGCCAGACTGGCCTAAACTCCTGACCTTGTGATCCACCCACCTTGGCCTCCCAAAGTGCTGGGATTACAAGGCAAGAGCCACTGGGCCCAGCCATTAACAAGTTTTTCTTTTTAAAGCTCGTGTGGCAAAACCCCATCTACAAAAAATTAGCCAGGAGCCTCTAGTCCCAGCTATGGGGGAGACTGAGGTGGGAGGATCGCCAAATCCCAGGAGGTTGAGGCTGCGATGAGCCGTGATCGTACCACTGCACTCCAGCTTGAGTGACAGAGTGAGGTCCTGTCTCAAAAAAAAAAAGCTTATATTGAAACAATGACAAACTCAACTGCTGGGGACCCTCGTTTCCACTCAACAGGGCAGTCCAGCAGGCACTCATTCTGAGGTTTCACGATGAACCTGAGCCAGAGGGAAGATTTAACTGGGCCGCGGTGAAAGCTGTGCTGATGGAACCGAGGTAGAAGGCAGCAGCAGGTGAACACTGAACTGGCCATGTCCCTGTGTCTATATAAGGGAGAGAAAAACACTTACCCTGGGTATTTTCCCAAAGGACAATGGGCTACACTTAGGGCCTGTCTTCATTTAATTATTATAAACTACTGAAAATACCCAATCTCCTGAGCTCTGCACAAAGCTAAGTTTACATGGGGTATCATTTGACAGTGATGAGGGGCTAACTCACTTCTGTGACAGGAGGAACAGAATGATTTCACAGTCAGCTTAAAAACAAAATAGCCAGGCATGGTGGCTCAGGCTTGTAATCCCAGCACTTTGGGAAGCCAAGGCAGGTGGATCACCTGAGGTCAGGGGTTCGAGACCAGTCTGACGAACAAGGAGAAACCCCGTCTCTACTAAAAGTACAAAATTAGCCTGGGTGTGGTGATGCATGCCTGTAATCCCAGCTATTTGGGAGGCTGAGGCAGGAGAATCGCTTGAACCCAGGAGGCAGAGGTTGCAGTGAGCTGAGATCACGCCATTGCACTCCAGCCTGGGTGACAAGAGCGAAATTCTCATAACAATAACAACAAAATAGGCCAGGCGCGGTGGCTTACGCCTGTAATTCCAGCACTTTGGGAGGCCGCGGAGGGTGGATCCCTTGAGATCAGTAGATTGAGACCAGCCTGGCCAACAAAATAATACAAAATTTAGCTGGGTGTGGTGGCAGCTGCCTGTAATCCCAGCTACTCGGGAGGCTGAGGCAGGAGAATCCCCTGAATCCAAGAGATGGAGGTTGCAGTGAGCCGAGACCATGCCACTGCAACAGCATGATCTCAGTTCACTGCAGTGCAGTGGCACGATCTTGGCTCACTGCAACCTCTGCCTCCTGGGTTCCAACAATTCTCCTGCCACAGCCTCCTGAGTAGCTGGGATTACAAGCGCATGCCACCACGACTGGCTAATTTTTGTATTTTCAGCAGAGATGGGGTTTCACCATGTTGGCCAGGCTGGTCTCGAACTCCTGACCTCAGGTGATCCACCTGCCTTGGCCTCCCAAAGTACTGGGATTACAGGTGTGAGCCACCGCGCCTGGCCTACTTTCATTTCAAGAACATTTTTCATTCCTATTCAATTTCTATTATCAGGTTTTATTTATTTTAGAACTCTCATATAAAATGTATAAATTATGATGGTTTTATGTTTATAAAAATAAGTATTACATAATTTATAAGAATGTCTTTAAAATTAGGTTATAAGATTTCATGTTTGAGGCAAAAAACATTTACTGAGCCAGTGGAACACACTGTAGCCTGACATACCTGGGCAGTGGCTGCTTGTTATTTTTGAAGCATGATGGGTAGAAATAAACTGTACAATGAAAATAAATACAACATCTTTAAAATCCAAAATTAATGTTAATAGTTTTTGGTGGCTCAGAGTTTAAGAACACAAGGATAACTCAAAATGCTGCCTGGTTGAGGCTTTATCCAAACAGCATTTATAAAAATCATGTGGAAAGGCAAGGGACCAGTGTCCAGTCTAAGCTCAAACACCAGTTGAACGTACACAGGCTTTTTACAAATAGAAGTAGGAACAAGATGCAACGGAAAATTAGCTAGATGTGGTGGTTCCCTGATTATGCCATTGCACTCCAGCCTGGGTGACAGAGTGAGACTCTGTCTCGCAGAAAAAGAGAAAAGAAATGAGCTTCTGAATTGTTTGTAGGAAAGATGTCATAGATTAAAAACAAGATATCTTTATCTAATAAATAACATTATTTGATAATCATACAGTTGTCTGTCTTGAGCCTATAAAGGTGCATGAATACGTGTAGCAGTAGCAAAAAGTGACCAAAAGTGTTTCAATTAATTAATTATTATTATATGCAAAGGTCATTCTTTGGAGTTTTCTTTTCTCTTTTTTTGGGAGACAGAGTCTCACTCTGTCACCCAGGCTGGTGTGCAATGGGATAATCAGGGAACCACCACATCTGGCTAATTTTTAGATTTTTTGTAGAGATGGGGTCTCACTATTTGTCCAGGCTAGTCTTGAACTCCTGGGCTCCAGTGGTTTTCTGCCTTGGCCTCCCAAAGTGCTGAGATCACAGGCATGAGCCACTATGCCTGGCCCAGAAACTCACCTCAACAGGTTTAAGTGTATAATCATAAAATTCCTCTTAATTTGTCACTTCTTTTGTTGGAAAGATTTAGTCTTATATACAGAGTAATGGCATACAATGAACTTTGAATAATACAGAACAGGTCAGTGTCTATGTCCAAAATAAGTATTTGAGATTTTCATCTCCCTAAATAAGGGCAATAAGATGAAAATATGCTCAACACTATTAGTCATTAGGGAAATGCAAAGTAAAACCACAGGGAACTAACATTACATACTCATTAAAAGGTAAAAAAACATTTGACCACAGCAAGTATGCATGGGGATATACAATAAATGGCACCATCATACATTACTGGCACAACCACTCTGGAAAACCGTTTGGCAGTTTCTTAAACAGTTAAACACACAATGACAAACTAATCTATAGTGACATAGATGATGGCATATTGCAATTGCCACAGATGGGGATGGAAAGAGAGGATGAAAAGGAGCATAAGAATACTTTGAGGGGTGAGGGAAATGCTTGTTATCTTGATTGTGGTGATGGTTCCATGGGTGTGCATATATAGTTTAGTATACTTCAATAAAATTGCGGAGGAGAGTTATGACATCCTAAACTGTATCTGTTGTTCTTTTAGGAAGCTTAAAGGAAAAAATACTCAAATTATGGTAATAAGAATGCACTTGGAGCTCAAGACATGAGCCAGCTTCGAGCCACAAAGTCTGGACTTACGGTGTGCGCAGTTATCTGCATCTTCATTTTTTTTTATTTAAGGAATCCAACTCCTGCAGAACCAGAGGAGGAACCTGTCTATCCAGAAGTAGTAGAATGTGGCTTTTACCCAGATGAACTGTGTTCTGCTTTATTTGAAGGGAAAGGGGTGGCCCTCCAAATTGCAAAATTTTGCAAAATCCCTCATAAATCCAAAATACATGCTCATTTACACACACCAGGAAACTGTTCCAGGATTTCTCATGGGCTCCATTTCATAACCAGACCCCTGTCTGCAGAAGAGGGCAATTTCTCTTTGGCATATATTATAACTATTCATAAGGAGCTGGCCATGTTTGTACAGCTTCTCAGAGCTATTTATGTACCTCAAAATGTTTATTGTATTCATGTTGATGAAAAGGCCCCAAAGAAGTTTAAGACTGCTGTGCAAACCTTGGTTAACTGTTTTGAAAACGTTTTTATATCATCCAAGAGAGAGAAGGTGGCTTATGCTGGCTTTACAAGACTACAGGCAGATATTAATTGTATGAAAGATCTAGTGCATTCCAAATTTCAATGGAACTATGTCATTAATCTTTGTGGACAGGATTTTCCCATCAAAACCAACAAAGAAATCATACACTACATCAGAAGCAAATGGAATGATAAAAATATCACTCCTGGAGTAATCCAACCACCACATATTAAATCCAAGACAAGTCAAAGTCATCTCAAATCCATTCCTGAAGGAAATACCTACGCATCTCCAAATAACAGATTCAAAGATAAACCACCCCATAACTTAACTATTTATTTTGGAAGTGCTTACTATGTACTTACGAGAAAGTTTGTAGAGTTCATACTGACTGATATCCGTGCAAAAGACATGCTTCAGTGGTCCAAAGACATCCACAGCCCAGAGCAACACTACTGGGTGACCCTGAACCGACTAAAAGGTAAGAATGACCCAACTGGTATGGATGCCTCTTCATGTCAACAACAACAGCAGGAGAAGATTTACTTTTTTTTGAGATGGAGTTTCGCTCTTGTTGCCCAGGCTGGAGTGCAATGGTGCGATCTCAGCTCACTGCAACCTCTGCTTCCCAGGTTCAAGCGATTCTCCTGCTTCAGCTTCCTGAGTAGTTGGGATTACAGGCATGCACCACCATGCCCAACTAATTTTTGTATTTTTCAAGTCATCACGGTGGGGTATTGGGAAAAGTTTTCAATTAGCAATAATCGTGCCTTGGCTAAACTTCATTGGCTATGATACTGCCACTGTGCAAAGCTAATTTTTGTATTTTTAGTAGAGATGGGTTTCTTCATGTTGGTCATCGTGGTCTCAAACTCCCGACCTCAGATGATCTGCCCGCCTCAGCCTCCCAAAGTGCTGGGATTGCAGGCGTGAGCCACTGTGCCCAGCCAGATTTATTCTTTTCTTTTCTTTTTTGAGACAGTCTCGCTCTGTCGCCAGGCAGGAATGCAGCGGGGCAATCCTGGCTCACTGCAATCTCCGCCTCCTGGATTCAAACAATTCTCTTACCTCAGCCTCCCAAGTAGCTGGGACTACAGGTGTGTGTCACCACGCACAGCTAATTTTTGTACTTTTTAGTAGAGACAGGGTTTCACCATGTTGGCCAGGTGGTCTCAATCTCTTGACCTTGTGATCCGCCCACCTCAGCCTCCCAAAGTGCTGGAATTACAGGCGTAAGCCACCACGCCCAGCCCAAAAGATTTATTCTTTTTCTTTTTCCTCAGTCTTGGATACATCTTTATCAGCAGAAGATTTATTCTTAACTGAAGATTCTTTTTTCTATTTACCTATGTTTCTTTGGCTTTGTAAATGTTCTACATTTTGCAGGACCTTCCACTTAGGGAGACAGGAAGTTCTCTGATTTTAGGGGTCTGAAGTTAGCTAAAAGATGTGCCCAAGTCAGTCTGGCTGCTTTTGTTCCCTTTCTAAAAAGAAGTACTTGCATTTTGCATTTCCTCAGAGACTTTGGAGAAAGCTGAGCATAAATCTTTAGAAAGTCCTTCATTTATTTGATAAATACTACAGGGTACCTACTAGTGCGAGGCATTGTGCTAAAGGCTCTGTAAGACGGAAAATATTAAAGCTAGTAATATTTTTGTGGCAAGTCCGATACTTCAGATGGGTTCTCTGAAAGGTACAGGGAAATCAGTTACCTCCTTTTAAGTGGACTTTAGTATTTTCTCTTTGTAAAATGTGAACTGCCTCCTATAGGGAGTGTAGCTTCAAGCCTGAACAACCAAGCTAATCAGCCTAGATAGAGGCGTATGATGAATCCGGCAGAAATTGGTTAGCATTTTTCTTATAATCTCATATCCACTGCAAGTTCTATTTTCAAATAATCTCTGAGGGCTGTTACAGATAAAACACAATCCAAAGAACTCCAAGAGAATCACGTAGAGCACTCTGCATACAAGTGAGTAACAAGGGATGGAGAAAGGGATGAAAAAAATGAAATCCAAGTACAAAGATGGGGATCCCTGACCTTGGTCCACCCGGATGCTACTGCCCCCAAAAGCACTAGCCTTTGATCAGATGTAACAAGTGAAAGATTTCAAGGAAGGCTGGACTTTCCCCTTTACTTTTCTCATTGACTACCTCATCTAGAGGAAATGGAAATGATAGCACATTAGAACTTATACTAAAAGAAGTGGGAAGCAGATTCCACACCGTATGGCTTTGTTTTCCTCTTAGATGCTCCAGGTGCTACACCAAACGCTGGCTGGGAAGGAGATGTTCGAGCTATTAAATGGAAAAGTGAGGAAGGAAATGCTCATGATGGATGTAAAGGTAAAAAGAAAAAACAACAAAAAAAGCCTTCAAATTTTACAACTAGAAAGCTGTCTCAACTCCCGTGGGAAAGCCTGAGGATCATGTTTAAAGTAATCTGGAATTAGTGATGATCCAATTAGCATAGGTTGAATCAATTTTTAAAAAGCTTTTTTATATAAGATTCATAAAGAAAAGAACACAAATCACAAAAAATAAAGTTGATAACATTTCACAAAGTGAATATACCCTCTGCAGCAATAGCTGGGCCCTGCCGTGTGTCTACACACAGCTTCCTACCCAGTGACAGGAACTACTGAACAAAGATACAAGAACTGATTTTAACAGGCTTCTGGGTAAGGTCCTTGGGTTTGAATATAGTAGACTAGCTATTAAAAATAAACTAGGTTTACCCAGTTTTTCAGCTGTTTAAAGGACTGGCCTAAAATAAACCGGTTGGAGACAAAAAATGTAAGTTAAGTACCAGACTAGTTCAAAGACAAGCAGTTCCGCCGCCAGCGTGCAGAGCTGCCCTCCTGTGTGTGCCAGGTTAGAGGGCTGGAACCGTTTTCTAGTGAAGTGGTTTTTAAAAAAGTAGATATGATTCAATTAGGGATCCATTCACATGGTAGAAAGGTGACAGGTAAACCACAGGTTAACAAGAGCTCTGCTCTTTCTTTAGAAAGCAGGGGCTCCCTGTCATTACACACTGGGGTTCAGGACTTGTCAGTATGCTCAGAAAAGCAGGGGGTTTGATTCTTCCCGGAAATAGGAGCCCCTCAGGTGTGCACATGGTGTGAGAAGTTATGAAGGGTTGATACTATCAATAATAATGACTCAGAATTCTGAATGAAATCTGAATGTTTTAACAATGTTTTAAAAAACCCTAGTTATTATAAATGCTAACAAAGTTCTCATTCCCTAAAGTAGACACTTCAGAAAGTTCTTACCATCCCCAGCTTCAGTATGAAAACGGTTCTCACAGTTAGGCAGTAGTGTGGCATCTGTGGCCAGCATTCAGATCAGCACCCAAAGTAGGCCAAGCCCTGGTGTAGGGAGGTGGTAAACCTTTGGGCCTGGCTCTGGGCCTGCACTCAATCCTCACAACAATTCTCAGGTAGAAACAACTATTATTCACCCTTTACCGATGCAGAACCCAAGGCTCAGGGAAGTGAAGTCACTCCCACGGGCACAGGGAGGGGCAGGTCTGGGGCTCAGACTGGGGGCGGCTACCTGCCGCCACTACAATGCATGAGCTCCCAGCCTGACTCTGCACGCAGAAGGATGGCTATCCCATTAGAAGCAGCGACCAAGAGTTCTTTTATTTTCAATCACCCAGATAGCATTAGCACAGCTCTGAAAACGGTCCGTTGATTTTTATTCCCTTCTAGTTCAAATTCGTCTGTGTCTAAAGAGCACAGCTGTATCGTTATAATCCAGGTGTAGCTGAGCTGCTCTTCACTTATGTCCTAAGTTTCTCCTACTGATTATCTTCATATCTGTAATCTTTTTTTTTTCTTTTTTTTTGAGATGGAGTCTCACCCTGTCACCCAGGCTGGAGGGCAGTGGCGCGATCTTGGTTCCCAGCAGCCTCCACTTCCTGGGCTCAAGTGATCTTCCCACCTCAGTATAAATAGCTGGGGCTACAGGTGTTAAGCCTGGCTAATTTTTTATTTTTGTAGAGATGGGGTCTCACTATGCTGCCCAGGCTGGCCCTGAACTCCTGGGCTCAGGTGATCCTGCTGCCTTGGCCTCCCAAAGTGCTGAGATTACAGATATGAACTACTGCATCTGGCCCATATTTATAATTTTAAACTAGTTAAATGTAACTCTACTGAGATTCTAGCACATTGTAAAAAATATGTTTAACAGTTAAAAATTTTTAAATCATGGTAACAGCTGCTACTTACATAGTCTTAAAAACAACACTGGACTTTCTGTGCAGATATCCCCCTGCCCCTTTCAAAAACAGTATTTCCTTAAGATAGTTTTTAAAAGTAGGATTACTGGGCTGGTATGGGGAAGAGAGCAGCAAGGAGCTGGACAGAGAAAAAGCAAGGTTTCTGAAACAGACCTCCTTCCCTCTCATACACACGCTGAGCCCTCACTTCTCTAAATCTGTTTCTTCACCTGCAAACTGAGAATAGCAATAGAATCCACTTCACAGTGTTCCTGTGAGAATTAGAGAGCAGAAAGAGCCAGACACAGTTGTCAAGCACATAAAAAATATTACTGAGTCTCCAAGGAATCTGGTCACCACTGGATTCCAACACTCATTCCCATTTAAAAAAAAAAAAAAATCTAAAATTAGAGACAAGGTCTCACTCTATTGCCCAGTCTGGTCTCGGACTTCTGGGCTCAAGTGATCCTCTTGCTTCGGCCTCCTAAAGTGCTGGAATTGCAGATGTGAGCCACCAAGACAGGCCTGTAATCCCACTTCAATGTTTCTAACAAATGTTCACTCTGAAAAACCAATAAAAAGCAGCGCCGGGCACGGTGGCTCACACCTGTAATTCCAGCACTTTGGGAGGCCAAGGTGGGCAGGTCACTTGAGCCCAGGAGTTTGAGACCAGCCTGGCCAACATAGTGAAACCCTTTTTCTATAAAAAAAATACAAATATTAGCTGGGCATGGTGG